ATTTTTTAAATACATACTGTATTTCGTGTTTCAGATTTAATTTTATCTATATGTGAAAGAGGAAATAACATAAGCGAGAAAGTGAAGTAATTTTATTTAAGTTAACAGAAACTACTATAAATATATGTATGTATGAGATGACGAGTGAAACGGCAGAAAAGACTTTTGTTCTATGTATAATATGACGAGCACTACAAATTAAATCATTTTTTAAGTAGTACTTATACAACTCATTCGCACTTTTAATCTTCAATCCTTGTATTTACTTCATTTTTCCACTTTTTGCTTATCGATAGCTATGATTATATCGACATTTACTATAAGATGTACATATATTGTTAAACATTATCGTTTATATATATAACTGTGAAATGTTTTAGTATTATGTTATGAATTCTGTCAAACAAGTATTGATTTTAATATACATATAATTTTATGACAAATGTAATTTTGTAAAACCACGATATAATTCACAAAATTTTAATCTCATGAAAATTAAATTTGATATTAACAAAAGCAAAATTGTATTAATTAATAAATATTTCCTTATATTTACATAAATAATTATAATATTTCAGATATTTTTTACAACGAAAATATATTTCTTCTAAGCTCTTGTACACACAAACATAATTTTCATCTTTTTGTATAAAGCATAATAGATATATTTACCATATAAAAGTTAGGAACAGAAATACATTCTTTATATTAGTTCTCTCATTGCAACATCTCTGTATATTTTGTGATTGTTATCTGTTGAACCACTTTTAATTATGCAGTAATTAAGTCATATTGAGGTGTTCCAGCAAGACGACTTTGTGTATATTTAGCATGTAGTTCAGTACTTAAGTAACTATTTTTAACTGCTGGATTTTCTTTCATGGCAGATCTCCATTCCAACTGCAATTGTAAATAAATATTTTTAAAATGATTGGTCATTTGATGACCATAATTTTATGTTAAAATGTTAAAGTAAAAAATCACAACATACCAGTTTTTTAAAACGACCTCGAGGTATACCGTATTGTTCTCCTCGTAAAACTTTAAGTACATCTGCTCTTTCCCACCATGGCCAAATCATGAAGTCCAACATTCCAGGGGACTGACCACCAAAGAAAACTGTTTTTCTGACTGCAAGTTCTTTTTCAAACAGTTCCAGACCAGTTAATGCCTCCTCAAACATGTCACATCCAGTAGATGCATTCAGATATAGCTAAAATCAATAAATTACTTACTGCATGTTACACAATACGTTGAAAAAATTCTATATTAAAGTATATGTACTTTATAAATAGTACTTATAACAGAATTGAATTTATCAATCAGTAATTTATCTTTGGCTTTTGCCAGAGGATTGTTTGGATAAAGTTTGTTTTGGGGATATGCTTCATCCAAATAGTCAGCAATGATAAGGCTTTCATACAATGTTTCCCCTCCATCCAGCTCTATACAAGGAACTTTACCATAAGGGCTTTTTTGTAGTAACCATTCAGGTTTACTCATTAGATTAACATAAACAACATCATATCTGTAAAGAAATAATAAGTTAAAAGAAAAACAATACAAATAAATAGTACTTATATGATAAGTATTGACAAGATATGTAAGGTAAAATTAATAAGATATTCGAGTTACAGCTTGCAGTAATAAAAATAAATAAAAGTCGACTATTAAACTTATTTACATACGGTATCTTTTTTGCATCCAGGACTAGATGAATTCTTTGCGCATACGGGCAAAATCGCATACTGTATAAACGTATTTTTCCAGGTTTAAGGGGAGGGGCAACAGATCCTGGAACAACAATCTTTTTAAAGAAAGATTCTTTTCACTTACGCGGATTTCGAATTTTGTAGTAACACTATCTTACCGGCTGCCAAATGTTTTGTACTCATATCGGCTGTCTTCCTGATTGAAAATACATACACTAACAAGGACCTTGTAGAAATGTGAAACTTCACGTCAAATAATATTTTAAATTCTTTTATAGGTCGCAAGATATAGAATAAAGATCAGATTAGCAAGGTTTCCAGGCGTGGTCGTTAACTGAGAACGTGCTTTCTCCAAACTCCAGATCCTAGATATTACGTATACATGTATTTTTATCCTTATTACAAATGTGTTCTGAAAGTCATCTGAATAAACATTCCAATTGTTTACCAATGTCAATTGTTTTTTCCGAGTTCCACGTTGTAGAAAATTTTTGATTTGGTAAACTTGAGAACATTTTTTCTTTGCTATCTACCAATACTTCAAAAGTATGTTTCTAGGGTCCTATGAGAAAAATTGTTATCTTTCGTAACTAGAAATATTTGGTACTTGTGGGTTGTACGTACGAAGCCAGACGGTAGCGCCATCTTAGGTGCCATTAAGAATTTCAAACGTACGCACTGGAGTGCTCTTGTTGAAATATTTTTTTATACAATTAATATAGTTTAGTTGTTTTTTAAATTTGTTTTACTAGTCTGAACTTGTCATTAAGCATATAGTCTTTTCGTGGAAGTGTTTGCAATAAAATTGAACATGTCGTTGAGATTTTTCAACAAATGAAAATCAATTCTGTTTCGAAGATTCGGTATGTACATACTTTTTTAATTGCATACAAACTTTTATCTGAATTATTATTGATAACATATGTGTTAGGTATGTTGTAAATAGCTATATTAGATTACGAGAATAAAGTGATACTTTTGACCTTTACTTTTGGTTTATTATTATATATATATTACATTATTATTATTATTTATTATGTATATATTATATATTATATATATATTTATATTATTATTTATTATTATTATATATATTACAATTGGTTTATTCAAAAGTAAGATATGCTCAATTTTTTAGAATCTCATGAAAATCTATTTGTAGCTTGTAAGAATAGAAAAATATTGGTAAACAAATTTCCGCACTAATATAAGAAACTACTACCATAAAAACTAAAACTAAACTATACCATTCTTAGTGGCAGCCATTACCTATGACGCACTGCTTTCTGTTTATAGATATAAATATTGTATTTATTTTTATAATCTGAATTGCTAAAAATGAAAATCGTCGGAACAATTAAACAGACTATTTAATAACTTTTTGAGATTAATTGTTCAAATTAAGTTTTCATATTTACGTGACCGAAAGGGTTAAATCACTACTTTTGGAAGACACCGGGAGGAATGATAAATAACTTGTGCCAGAGACATTAAAAAATGAATGAGCTAATAATAAACTAACAATTATAAAATTTAATAACAATTGAGAATTCAACAGACGTTATATAAAATATTCCATATCAACATAAGTTGGAAAACTCAACGGAAATATTATCTCTGGTTTGACCAATAATTATAATTAAAAGCAAAGAGAGAGAAGCAAAAATCTCACGAATCTCCGCGAAGGCGGAACCAAAACTCGCTCGTTCCCAAAACCGCAGCCATGATGATTACTTTAGTTCCTTCTTTTCCAGTTCTCTGCATCCTGCTCTCAATCTCGGTGAAAATGAAACACAAAAATCCGAAAAACCCCTGGTGTGAAGTATCATCCCCGAACGAGATCCTCTCAAAGCATTCGCGTCACGAGCGAAAACGAAAATAGCGCGTGGACAAAAAGGCGTCGATCTTTCTTAATCACTGACAACTATTACCGAAAAACCTCTCATCCCCCCTTTTCAACGAGGCTGCACGTTACTTTCCCTTTAACCCCTTAACATACCATTCTCTTCGTAGTTGCTGCGATTAGAAATTTTTCGATTATCATAAATTCTTAGAAGGGAAAGAAAATTTATGCTTATCGTGTGCCTAAATTTACTGGAATGCTTAAATATTGATGACAAGAAATTAGAATTTTATTCAAATTTTAGTGGACAGAATAACATGTATACTCAATAAGTTATTATTAGAAATTTTCATGACGAGTCGGACTCGTCAAAGTACGGCAAGGGGTTAAACAAGGGAAATACCGAGAAAGGGGTTAAAGCGTCGATCGGCGGGCACGAGCGAAAACGAAAATAGCGCGTGGACAAATGCGTCGATCTTTCTTAATCACTGACAACTATTACCGAAAAACCTCTCATCCCCCTTTTCAACGAGGCTGCACGTTACTTTCCCCTTAAACAAGGGAAATACCGAGAAAGGGGTTAAAGCGTCGATTGGCGGGCACTCAGGCCCGGTTGCCTCTATCAAGCAGCCGACTGCTATCCGGTGGTAATAACCGTACACAGAGGGATCAGACGGCTGGCCTGGTAGCTAAGTGGTAGCGCGAAGGACACGTGTAGGTGGAGACAAGGTGATGGTGGGCAGGAGACGGCGGGGGTGGACAGGGTTGGAAGGTGGGTGAAGAGGGTAGAAAGAAGGGTCGAGAGGGAGGGTTGCCGAGGGGTGGGTGGGTGAACAGCCTCGCCGGAGAGAACGAGGAGGGAACAGCGCGGGCGCTGATTGGTAGCAGAATCGATTAGCCGAGCCGGGCTAAACCTTCGGCATCGCGTCGGCTTCGGTGACGCCACGAATTTCCCGAATGGGGGTTTCCCGTTGGGGCGGACCCGAATCCAGGGAATACCTCGGCGTTCTCCATGGCAACCCGACCAATTCGCCAACCGCCGACAACCAAGGCTGACCTACCGTGTGTTGCTTATTTTTCCTCTGTCCCTCTCTCTCTCTCTCTCTCTCTCTCTCTTCTCTCCATCATCCCCACCTGTTCCCTCTTTCTCTCTCTCTCTCTCTTCCTCTCACCGGCTGTTTTTTTTCTTCATTTCAACCCCTCCAGGAGTCCCTCATCCTCGTTCCATAGCTGTCCTTTGTGTCCGCTTTCCTTTCCCCTTTGTCTCCTATTTTTCTGAGTTTCGTTTACGCTGCCGGAGCGAGACGGGGAACAGGTATTACCACCGGGCTTCCACCTCTTCCTCCGGCGGTAACTTTGCCAGCACAAAGCTCGAACCCGCTCGCCGAGGTTCGCTCGCGAGCTTCGCGAGCGTGCCCGCGCGCATGCGAACACAGCCGTACATTCCGTTACGCAATCTCCGTCCGTGCAGATGCGGCGCACAGACACCGCCAGAGAGATACAGGGAGAGCCACATTGATTTTGCCGACGACTGATACAACCCCGTCGGCACGTTTAATTAGAACATGGCGACTTTAATACAAGCGCACGACAACAAGAACAACAACAGCGCCCCTTCCCCCGCACCCCTCCCCCGACCGACTGCTGTGTCCCTTCCAACGTCCACGCGTCTCTCGATCCTTCTCCTTCGTCTCTTCTTTTCTTTTTTTTTTTTTGCTTTCTACCCCGGTGACTATGATGATGGCGGTGACGAGAGAGAGTCTTCCGACCTCCGACCGAAACTCGGCTCCTCTGACTCTCGAAGGGGTCGCTTATCTACCTAGCCTAACGCGGTCTATGCTAGTGCCAAACAACCCGTCTCGTCCGCTCCTTTTTTCTCTCGCATTCTCTCGCGCACACTCACCCGTCATTGTCGTCATCGTCATCTTTATTATTATTATTATCATCATCATCATCATCATCGTTATCATTCTCCTCGGTACAGGTTTCGAGAATCACGCCCACTCGCACGCACTCATGCAAACCTCACGCTTATACACGCCACACGCTCCACGCTCGTGCACACAGATTATCGGTTTCGCTCGATCGCGCGCGCACACGTTAATACATTCTCGCGCTATGACTATGTCGTCTACACGCCTACGCTACACATGAAAACACCCTATCTACATTAGAGCACCCCGACGCTCCGCGGAACCAGCTTGGAAAATGAGGCTCGAACGGGCTTGGCGTCGCTCCGCGACGGCCTGGACACACGGGTTTGATCGGATTTCGAATGGTTTTCGCCCGAAAATGGATCGTCTTGGATCGTTTTTCTCTTTACCTTTCGCTACGGTTATCAAAGAAATTCCGTCGTTCGTTGCTGCAAATCGAGTTCTCTTTGGAGAACGAAAATCCTCGCTGTGCTTTGTCTCTCTAAGGTTACGAGTACCTGCTTTGTCCCTTCGAGAGAATAATATGTCTGCGGTAATGTCGTGGTGGTTCTGACAAATTCTGCAAAATTAGATACGATGCTTGTTCATGCGTTATTGCTTGCTTCTCGGAATTTAAAGCTTGCTGCGATGAACAGCTATCAAAGATCACGGCCTCAAATTTACATTCTTTTGAACAAACATTACATTTTTCTTTGAACTGCCGACCTATTTTTTTCGCTTGAAGTTGATGTCAAGTTGATCTTATTCGAAACTGAGTTAAATAAATAACTGGAAAAGAGAGAGATTAGAATCACCGATGCAAGTTGAAGTTAAATTGATCTTATTCGAAACTGATTTAAATAAATAACTGGAAGAGAGAGATTAGAATTATCGATGCAAGTTGATGTCAAATTGATCTTATTCGAAACTGATTTAAATAAATAACTGGAAGAGAAATTAGAATCATCGATGCAAGTTGATGTCAAATTGATCTTATTCGAAACCGAGTTAAATAAATTACTGGAAGAGAGATTAGAATCACCGATGCAAGTTGAAGTCAAATTGATATTATTCGAAACCGAGTTAAATAATTAACTGGAAGAGAAATTAGAATCATCGATGCAAGTTGAAGTCAAATCGATCTTATTCGCGAAACTGAGTTAAATAAATAACTGGAAGAGAAATTAGAATCACCGACGCACGAGTGAATTTTCTCCTTGTTGCAATGTATTGCGTGTCTAGGGATGAATGCTACTTTCGACCTGCAACTTTCATCCTCTAGGGCGATAGTATTTACGAGAACAGTCCTACTCACAAGTATTGTAACATCTGTTCGAAATAAAGAACCAATATTTCGTTAAAGATCTATACCGCATTAACTTCTCGCTTTTGCAATAAAATTCTGACGGTTCAAATCAAAAGACGCTATTCATTTAGTCCATAAAAGTTCGTGCTATTTTTCATATTGCACATATAGTTCTTTAACGATTGCCTATCAGCACGC